CCCTGGACTTTGGACTTCCTAGCCTCTGAAACTGTAAGCAATATTTTTTTTCTTTATAAATCACCCAGTTTTAGGTATTTTGTTATAAGCAACAGAAACAGACTAATACACCAACCTAGCCTTGATATAGGTCTTAAGGGTTTCACCAAAACAAATATTTTCAAGTTTTCCACCACACTTCTTCTTGTCATGTGTAAAGAAGACTAGGCTCAGGGGAGATGCCATATGCCCAAATACAAGACCCAGTGTTTTAGGCAACTCTCCATTTTTCTCCTGAGAAAACCCAAAAAGATGTTTCTATTTTTGGCTAAGCTTTCATCTATACTATATGAATAAAATTGTCAAATGATGGTTATATGTATGCAATTAAATTCAAACAGTGTATATAGTGTATTACCCAAAAAGCTGTGGAATTAGCAGTGGATTCATTTGTGTGTACTTTTAAAGTTTACAGAATAAAGAATTTTAAAAAGATTACAGTGACATTACTTGCAATTAGAAATTTCCTTTGAAGATTCCCATCAAGAATTTTTTTAAATACCAAGAAACTTGTTTTTGAAAACCAGAAAAAGTCCTGAATTGCTAATTTTTTACCAGCTTGCCAAAAGGTTTGTAAGAGAAATGTGCACGTTATATTGATGTATATATATGTTGGGGTAGATGCATGTTTATCTACTCCTTGGTCTTGGAAATCAATAAAATACCTTAATATTTGTACTTATAACTAAGGATACAGCAACTAATAGGTTTGCTTCAACTACAGCGTCCAAAATCTGCTCCTAATGATGAAAAGGTTTAATAACAAGAATACAAGGCAAACTTCTTTTCTGGGGGAATTTGGGAAAAAACAGATTTTATAGTCTGACACGTATGGTACTTGGAAGCTAGAACTGAATCCTAATTTCCCTCATTGGAATAAAAGACAAAAAGGTTTCTTGATTGTTTCTAGACCAGTGGGGAACAGTTAGGCCCAAATCTGCAGAAATGAAGTGAGAAAAAGTAGTTGATGTGACATGAAATCAGGCCAAATCAAGCAAGATTTGATATCAGCTTGTCAGTTTTATTGCAGTTTGTGGTTTAAGCCCAGCACAGCAAGGTATTCATTTCTCTCTTCAATAATTAAATTTCAAAACATTTGTCAGCAAATGAAATTTTTTATCATTCCAGTTCTAAACTTTAAATATATTTTAGAAACAATTAAATAAATGCTCCCTTGCAAATTATCTAAAAATATTTCTTTTATTTTTCCATGTATATTTATTTATACCAAATGGTTAGATTTTTGTTTTTACTCTTGGTGAAATGAATGACTCAGTTATTGAAAACATAGCATCATTCTAATGAACTCTTCAGAATCTTATGAAGTCCTAATTAGGACCCTACATAGCTGGGCAACTGGGCTGGTACTATTCAGAAAAGACACAGGAACAAACCATATAGAAAATAAAACCTTTATTTTTTTCAAGTTTATAAGATAGTTCCCATTACATATAACATTATGGTCAAGGATTCTACAGCCACGAATGCCCGCAGTCATATAAATATATCCAATCCAAGCAATGACTTTTCCTACTAAAAGAGGCATCTGAAGTCCAGAGGGAGAGTCGTGCTTTGAAGTAGAAGTCGTCCTTAATGGGATGGCTCCCGTCAGTGCATTAGGAGCTAGCCAAGGAGATTTGCTTGCTAGAGCTGTCCAACTCAGAGGAGAGGAAGGGACAGATGGCCTGCTGATAGAGGCTGGGACAGAACTAGATGCTCTTCTGTAGTTTAAGATATTTTAGAATCTCAAAAAATTAATATTTGGCTTCTATAGTGTGAATATCTGCGGAGTTCTAACTTTTGGATGAAAAAGGAAACCCACTGAGTGGTAGGAAATAGAAGCATGCTTAAGAGGGGGCCTAACTGCCCCCTTGTGGAGGGGTGAGGAGTGAGTGAGAGGAAGCCCCCAAGTTCACCACTCCTTGGCCAAGACTATAACTCTCCCAGGAAGAGGGAGACATGGCTCTGCCCCTATTCTCCTCTCTCCTGTGGTTCAGTGGCACCGACACCCATTCAAGATAGTGAACATCTAGAAGCTCCATGTGCTGCAGCTGGAGTGTGCCAATCAGATTCTACATGGAGCTTTAAAGCTGAGTTTGTATAAACTGCGAACAAGCTGTGGCACAAGTCTCTTTGGACACTAAATATGCCCTCCCCCCAAACTTGTAGAGCAGAAAACAAGAACACCCCAAATCAAATAAAAGCCTAAATAGGCATCTAAATCTGGAGGAGGCATCTATTCTCCTGGACACCACAGCTGCCCAAGGCACACTGGACAGGGTGATGCTAAGGCACAGTCAGTTTTACATTCGAAAGTCAAGCCACCTCCGAAACTCAGGACACACCTGACAACTCCAGATCCACTACTAGAGATAGCCTTCACCATGAAATGTACAGACCCATCTTATGAAATCCACAGTGCCCACCTGGAGAAGGACTCATCATCTGGCTTATTTCAGGGGGACTTTTTCTATTAAATAGGGCTTACAACTTGATGAATGAACCCACAGTATCCTTTGACCCGCAGCTTCCAGCAGCTCTTAATGCTGCCCACTTACTTTTCTTTCCAGATGTTTGTGCCAGGGATAAGAATTCTGTGTTCCCTGGTCAATTCATTTCAGAAAGATGGGCCAAGAAGCTCCTGTTTTCTGTCTGCCCTCTAAATGAGGGTGGCAGTGACCAGAAAAGAGCAGAAGATGCTCTGCTCAGAGAGCCTCCTCAACTCTCTTGGCCAAGTTCAAGTTCCTTTTGGAAAGGGCTAAGATAGGCAGTCAGGACAAGAGGAAAAAGGCAATTGAAAGGAATCCAAGTCATATTTTAAGGATAAAGAGCTCCCAAAGGGTGGGGAGAGAGAAGTGTTTGTGCATCTGTGTGCATGATATAGCCATACAAACCTGAGCACAGTACCAACAGGGTGGCCTTTGTCCAGAGCAAGAAACCAACAGGGTTTTGAGGCCTCAAAGTACAACCATCCTAGAGCTTTCTAAGATCAACCATCAAGCAAGGCAGAGCAGCATCTGGGCTACTATGCTGAATACAGACCAAGGGAAGGTCTGCTGACTACATTTCACTCCTCCGACCCCACAAGGAAACAAGACAAAAGAGGCAGTTAAGTAATGGAGCACTGACTTCAGCCCCTCTCCAAAAGCGTATTCCCTAATTGTGAGTCATGCAGCACTTTTGCAATCAGTTCTGAAGGAATGTGTATACCAGCCTTTCTCTGTTGCTATCTGGCATTTAGGATTCTTGCCTCTTTGTGCTGCAACAGCTCTGGAAATGGGTATGCAGAATCTCTGGGGACAAGCAATTATAGCTGGAGTAGGTCCTACTGAGGACCAAGACTGAGGTGCTTATATAATCATCTTTCTCTGTGCAGCCTGGGAGAGGATAAACTTCCTCAGCTCTAGGGAAGTTTCTCCTGCCTCAGCAGATGCCCAAGTTGGTCTTGGAGGAATAAGGCAGTCAACAAACATAGCTGGACTGAAAGGTTGGGGCCAGTGCATGGGGACCCACCAATCTTCCCAGAGGTCAAGCTGAGAGATGTTCCTGCATTTGGCCCAAGATTAAGTTTTCAGGAACGAACTGGAGGATCCAGCATCCTCATTTAAATAAGCAAAGTCTTTCTGGCCTTCTGGTTTCCCATTTTAGAATGGGATTTGAGAAGAGGGGTGTTCCAAGGGAAACTGGGTTTTGATTATAGCAATCTTCTTTTCAGTTTCAGGCAGAGATCTAAGTAAATATATGCCCAGGATACCCTTTCATATGGCTTAAGAGCTTCCGCAAAGGAAGTCCAATACATTGGTAGTTTTGGCCAAAATGTAGTTATAAGCCTGTTCTTAGACTTGATTTGACTTCTTAGGTCCAATATCCAGGGACTGGCCAGAGCTGCATGGAGGTGGATGGGAGGTGCAGAGGGCAGGAAAGAGACAAGAGTCTAGTACTTGATGACTAAGAAGGGAGAGGCTGCAGGGGTGAGCATCTAATGGGGAAAGGGTGCATCTTTGCAGGAGGAATAGGTAGATTCTTCCTGTCTCAAGAGCCAAAGAAGATGAAATTCCTAAGAAGCCTTCGTCCCTTCTCTCCAGTTTGGAGGCTAAGCCTCCTGGGACACAGTCCTTGAATATGAGTCAAACTGAAGGGTTAGAATTTATAGTATAAGAGAAAGAGTTTCTAGGGTTGTGCCATTTGGTTAAAGAGGAAGAGTGACTGGAAAGGGGACTAAGGCGTCTATGATGGGAAATGCCTAAGTCAAAAGTTAATCAGTGTCCAGTGCCCCACAGCTCAGCAAACTAGGAGATGGAAGAACGGGAAAGGAACCATCCTAGAGAGCAGACCACTGGAGCAGCTAAAGAGGTGCTACTGTCTCAAAGAGGTATTTTAGATATTTCAATTATTATTTTCAAGGAAACTTTATACGCCCTTTTCTTGCTAGAAAAAGAAAGGGGGGAAAAACCTGCTTCAAAGACCAGACCCTTACCTATAAAAATAACATACATATTCACTGGAAATGAGTTCTACAGCTAACGAGATTCTAAAGACTGCAAGAAATGTTATTATAAAGTCTGCGCATTTTTCCTATCACCTCAAGTTAATAGCAGTTCTCGATCTGGTCATGGACTAAGAGTGTAACTCTGCTCGAGGAATTTCCTTTTCTTTTTCTTCATTTTTTGAAACAAAACACAGAAGAATTAAAAGCACTGTAGTTGCAGTAAGTCTACTGTTCTCTCTATCCAACTGTCTCCTTCTGTACGAGGATGAACATGAGGCTATGGCTCACTCTTAGCAAAAACCGCAGCTGTTGGTTCTGATTGTGTTCTTGCCAGTATTCCATGGAGAAAACGAAAGAGAGAGAGACCCACAGAGACAAGAGAGTCCCCAGCTGGTTCTGGTCTCTAGCTCCCTTCTGGAGGGAAAAGGAGCAAACGGGGAAGCTCCTCATTCCAGTTCTTCTCTGATTGTGTTCTTGCCAGTATTCCATGGAGAAAACGAAAGAGAGAGAGACCCACAGAGACAAGAGAGTCCCCAGCTGGTTCCGGTCTCTAGCTCCCTTCTGGAGGGAAAAGGAGCAAACGGGGAAGCTCCTCATTCCAGTTCTTAGAGAAAATCAAGCTCCAAAGCTTGATGGAGGGATACTAGGTCTCCATGGTTTGTGATCCTCCAGAAGGGCATGTTGTGCTGGAAGAGAAGGGGTATAGCTGGTTAATCCAACTTCTTTTGGGAACTTATATGTACCCATACCCCTTCTTCCACAGATCTTTCCCCAAGGTACTTGGTGACCCTATCCACCCCTGCCCACATCACAGGGCTGTCATAAGGATCAAATAAGTTGCACGTATAAGGACTTTGTGCATTATAGGGCACTTTACAAATGTGAGGGATTTTTATTAGGTTTCAGTGGTAACTGTGCTTTTATGGGAGATATACCTGTTCTAGCTATTATACAGGGTCTTCAGGAGCAAATAAAATAGCCCAGGTAAAAAGATCAGTATTACTAAAAGATTACATTGTCTTACAGATGGTCAACTTCCTTAAATTTCAGAGATACAAGACCCAGATCTTGACCATGTCTAAGATGCAGAATATATAGATCTGCGAAATAATAATAAAGACATTATATTATGTGGTCAGAATCATGTCCAGAATACTGTATGGTGTTCTGGAAGGCACATTTTAAAGGAGCGCTTTGATAAACCCAAGTGTTGGAAACCATGTTCTATGAAGCTGAAGATTAGCTCTACTGATAATCTTGTTCAAACTTGTTCCAAGTCACTAAGAATACTGAGGTCCTAGGATACAGTTCTTTTGCCATGTGGCCTAGTTTTTTCCCAAGCCAGCTGCTCACACATAATATTTAAAAAGCTATTAATATACAGAAGAGGAAGTGGGCTTGTTATATTATGCTCAGGAGCGCTACACTAGGACTAGTATGTAAAAGTTAGAGAAATTTTTATTCAGTGCAAGGAGGAACACCCTAACGATCTGGATGACCCCACAGTGGAACAGGCTACCTGGGCATCAGTGTCTATTCAAGCAAGGACTAGAGTCTTCTGTCAGAGAGGCTCAGAAAGATCCCTCATAGGGTGGAGGTTGAACTGGATAAAGCATTTTCCAATGAGCATATTCTACAGTAGATGATTACAGACATCAGCTTAGAGACACCAACTCTGTTAATGACTTGAGTTGTTCTTTCTCTCCCCCACTCTCTTCTTCACATTGAGAAGCACTGATGCCTACACCCAATAGTGTCTTCCCCAAAGGGGGCATCAAGAAGCACTTTAGAATCAAAGCTTGAATGATAACAAATGTGAAAAAACAAAGGTCTTTGAATTGCTACATAAAGTGGCAAATGTAAACATAATGAGGTAATAATGCTAACTCATTACCAACCTCATAGTCCATTAATAGTTGCTAAGGTTTCTATGTTAACTGGGTGAAGAAAATCAGGGCAGTTAGTCTTAGTTGGCAACCCGTTACCCCCAAGTGTAAGAAATACTGTTGCTGGAAGAAAATAAACTGGGGCAGGAAGGGAAAGAACTTTATTCTTTAGATCCATTTAGCAGATAAGGAAACTCAAAGAGGATAAGTAAACTGTCCAAAATCACACAGCTAATAAACAGATGGGATATGAACCTGCTTGATTTTAGACTCCATAGCCAAGACTCATCTACTATTTCTTATATTAAGGGATGACCTGAAGTTGGGGCCTGTATAATGATGAGGTTAACATCAGAACAATCTTTTCAGGGTTCAAAAGCAGGAAGAACTTTCCCTATAGAAACAACTCCAATTGACCGTACTGTTGTTTTTTGAGAGTCTGAAGCCTGAACAAAGTAAGAATGTCACCTTTTTGCAGTCAGGTCTAATGCTCTTGAGAAGGCACTGCCTTCTAAGATGAAGATGGAAGATGGGGGGTCCAGCTCGGGTTTAATAATGGGGGTCCCTGTAGCAGGGTTCAAAGATTTTAAGATTTTTGAGTGGCAGGGAAGAGGGGAAGGGAGGGCTTAACAACTTATAAGGGAAAACTCCATTTGGGGAAAAAAATGACCCTCTTTTTCTTTAAAGAAAAATGGGAGAGGAAGAGAAGGAAGGGAAAACACTGTAAGTGCACAACAGAATGCTAAGATTTCATAATTTTACCATTTTTCTAATTGCTCAATGCACAACTACATAGACTATTTTCTTCACCATGGTTACCTGTTTGGCTGCAATTTCTTCATCTCGTCCATCTCCAATCACTACATATGTGACTTTCTTTCCAAACCTTGACACAATTCTCTCAAAGCAGCTCTCCTTACCTGATGAGAAAAAGAAATTTCCTATTAGGATATTCTTCTCTTATCTTTTTTTCAATATTAAAGAAAAGGGTGCTAGAGACCCAGTAGGTCCACTGCCCAAAGAATGTGAAATTGTACCATTAAAACAATGATGGTGACAACAACAACGACAATTTACTGTAATCTTCACATTGGCAGTGAAGTCCCAAAGATCCTAGTGTGAGGGGATTTGTGTAAATGGAAGACTAAGGGGCCCAGGCAGTGTGAGAGCTGTGACCACTGCCTCCCTCTTCCCCATCTCTTGTACTTTACAGCTTGCAAAGCACTTTTCAATTTATTCCTTCATTTAATTCTCAAAATAATCCAGCCAGATGGATACCATTCCCTATTTTACAGATGACAATGGAACTCACAGGTTTATCGGCTTGCAGCAGACCACAGACAAGCTAGTAGTAAGAATTTGGACTTTGGGCCTGGACTCCAAATCCAGGCTCTGGCTATTGTGTCATAATGAATGAACGATTTCTGAGGGGAAAAGTTTTAGGGTAGGAAAGAGAAGTGAAAACATAAGGCCCTGCTTTCTTGTTAGAAATAAGTTAACAGACAAAAAGCTGTCTCCCTCCAATTCCTTATTTTCCAGAAACAGACACCTGCTCTAAAGTATATATATCTAAAAGTGGAATTGCTTGATCACAGGGTCATGCACATCTCCAACTTTATTAGACATAAACAAAAACAGACTGTTCTCCAAGAAAGGTTATATCCATTTTCAGTCCCATCTGCAGAGTAAGAGTCTCCATTACCTTAACAAAGCTTGGCACTGTCAGATTAAAATTTCTATCTGATGAGTGGGAAATACATCACATTTTAATTTTCATTTTCTTAATTGGTGAAGTTAAGGAATTTTTCCTATGTTTACTGACAGTTTGGTTTTCTTTTTCTGCAAACTGGCTGTTTCAAGGTTTTTGCCTATTTTTTCTATAGGCAAAATTGTTTGTTGCTTATTGATTCACAGGAGTTCTTTATAGATTCTGTATACTAATTGTCAATTAAATGTGTTGCAAATATTTTCTCCTAGTCTGTGGCTTGTCTCATCAATTTATGTTATCTTTCATTGTAGGTAAAATTAAAAACTTCATGCAATCAAAATTATCTTTTTATTCTTTAAAATAACTTTTGGCTCTTTTAAAAAAGAGATCCTTCCCTACCTTAAGGTCATGCAGATACTCTTCTATATTTTCTCCTAAAAATTAAAAATTTGCTTTTCATGTTAAGTTTTTAATATACCTGGAATGTTTTATTTTTTCTTTTGGCAGCTGGCTGGTATGGGGATCTAAACCCTTGACTTTGGTTTTATCAACATTGCACTCTAACCAACTGAGCCATACCTGGAATTTATTTTTGCATGTTGGATAAAGAAGGAAAACAATTCTTTTTTCCCCCACATGGATAACCCGATTATCATAAGGACAGAAGATTCTGTCACTGCTGTATTCCTAGTGCCTTGGCAGTGCCTGGCACGCAGCAGGCACCATTATCATCTTTCCTCATCTAGTGGATCATTAACATCTGCATACACATTTAATATAATTTCTCTTATGTTCAAAAATCCTCTTGAGCCCACATACTCCTTCAGCTAATACCTCATTTCTTGTTATTTAAACAAACCTCTCTAAAGAGTTGCCATGTAGTTGCCTTCTCCAACTCCTTTCTTCCCATTCTCTCTTAAAACCATTCTAATTAGTGTTTCATCACCATCACTGCACTCAAACTGCATGTCAAAGTTCTTAATGACCTTCATGTAGCTAAAAACAACCTTCAATTCTCAGGTCTCATCTGACCCATCAACAACATCTGATAAGAGCTGATCACCCTTCCCTCCTTTGTCTTCAAGACACCATTCTCCTTTTCCCCCCTCCGTCTGAGGCTAATCCTTCTGACGCTTTTGCTAATTCTTCCTCATGATCCAAACATTTAAATATTAAAGGGCCCCAGGACTTGGTTCTTAGACTTCTATTCTCTATCTGCACTCACTTCTATGATCTCATCTAGTCTTAAATAACCATACATACATGAAAACTCTCAATTTTGTATAATTAGTCAGTATTCCTCCCTTGATTTCCAGAATGTGACTGCCTACTTGACGTCTTCACTTGGATGTCTAATAATTATTTCAAATTCAACATGCCAAACTAAACACCTAATCATTCTTCCACAGTCTTCATCTTAGTGAATGGCATCTTCATACTTTCAGTTGCTTAGGCTCAAATCCCTGGAATCACCCTTAACTTCTTTTTCTTTCAAACCCTATATCCAAACTATCAGCAAATTCTGTCAGCTCTGCCTTCATACTATAATCCTGTACTGCAGCTGGTTACTTCTCAACCTCCACCGCTACCACCCGGTCCAAGCCACCCATGATCTCAGGCTGGATTATTACAATAATCTCCTAACCTGTCTCCCAGCTGTCCTTCTCAAGACCTACACAGCAGTAAGACTGATGCTTTTAAAGTGTAAGTCAGATCATGTTACTCTTCTCACAACTTTATAACATTTCATTCCATAAGGCCCTAAAACATCTCCCTACCCTCTCCTTTGATCTCTCTCTCTCTGACCTTATTTCCTACTATTTTTTCTCCCTTGCTCTTCCTTGACCATACCACCAACCTTTTCCACTTTCTGTTTCTTCTTCTTGCCAGTTTTTTCTGCAGATATATGCTAATGGCTCACTCCCTCACCTCCTTTAGATCTTTGCTCAAAAGATACCTGTTCATTGAGGTCTTACCTAACTGCTATTTAAAACGTAATCCTACCTTCTCTACCTGATTTTTATCCACAGCACTCATTACCATTAAACATACTTTGTTTCACTTACTTATTTGTTTATTGATTGTCTCCTCCCACTAGGGACAGGGATTTTTGTATTTTTTGTTCACTGCTGTATCCCTTGTACCTAGAATAATGCCTAGCACATAAAAGAAGATCATCAAATATTTGTTGAATAAATGAAAAAAGAAAGAAAGAAAGTGTCACTAGAACTTGGTGGGCTTATTTATAACCTCCATAGATCCTGGGATATTAAAAAAAAATTAAATCTGTTTTTTACAAAGAAAGTTAATTGACAGGCATGTAGTAGATTAAAAAATAAATAACCACACTTAACCTTTAAACTCCAGGACCCTCCCCTTTGCTGCAATAGGAAGTAGGGACCATACACATAGTCTAAAGGGGATGGGAGTAAGGGAAGAGTTGTCATACTCCTCTTTCCCCAAACCATGTACAGCACATAAGGATTAGAGTGAGACATTCTGCTGCATCTCAGGTGCACAAGCTGGTTTTGTGTAAACCTAATGCCAATTATTAATTCATTCATTTAGCAAATATTTATTGAGCACCTACTATTTCATATACTCAGTATTAAATACATTTAAATTAAAAAAAAAAAAAAGATGACCGGTAAGGGGATCTCAACCCTTGACTTGGTGTTGTCAGCACGACTCTCTCCCAAGTGAGCCATGGACCGGCCCTTAAATACATTTTCAGGGGTTAAAAAGTACCTTTGTATACACAGTCTCATTTGATTTTCCCAAGTTCCCTGGTAGATTCTCATTTTACACAAGAAAACTGAGTCTCAAGAGATAAGATAATTTGCCTACAGTAAGGGTTAGTAAATGAGGGAGCAAGGACTTTGAATCCTAGTCCTTGGTTTTTATTTTCTTTTTTCTTTTTAAAAATTGTGGTAAAATATGAATAAGATAAAATTTACTAATTTAACCTTTAAGACACTTTTGTTTTTTTTTTTAAAAGATGACTGGTAATGGGATCTTAACTCTTGACTTGGTGTTGTCAGCACCAGGCTCACCCAGTGAGCTAACCGGCCATCTCTATATAGGGATCCGAACCCTGGCCTTGGTGTTATCAGCACCACACTCTCCCGAGTGAGCCACAGGCCAGCCCCTAAGACACTTTTAATTGTGGTAAAAAAAAAACACATAACAAAATTTACCATGTTAATCATGTTTTAAATGCACAATTCAGGAGTGGTTAAGTATCACACTGTTGTGCAACAGCTCTCCAGAACTTTATGATCTTGCAAAACTGAAATTCTATCCCTGTTGAACAACTCCCTATTTCCTCCCTCCCCTGGTTCCTGGAAACCACCATTCTACTTTCTGTTTCTAAGAATTTGATTACTCTAAGTACCTCATGTAAGTGGAATTAGACAGTATTTGTCTTTTTCTGACCATCTTATTTCACTTGGTATAATGTCTTCATCATTTGTTCATGTTGTAGCATGTGACAGGATTTCCTTCCCTTTTAAGGCTAATATTTTAGTGTGTGTGTGTGTGTGTGTGTGTGTGTGTGTGTGTGTGTGTGTGTATGTATGTGTGTGTATATATATATATATATATATATCACGTTTTGTTTATCCAGTCATCCACTGATGGGAATCTGGGTTGCTTCTACCTCTTGGCTACTGTGAATAATGCTATGAGCATGGGTGTGCAAATATCTCTCTGAAACCCTGCTTTTGGATATTTGCATGTATATCAAGAATCTGAGACTCAATTCTTTTTGATATTTACCCAAAAGTTGGATTACTATATCATATGGTAGTTCTACTTTATTTTTTTGAGGAACCATCATACTGTTTTCCATAGCAGTTCCACAGTGCACAAAGGTTCCGATTTCTCCACATCTTCACTAACAATTGTTATTTTGTTTTTGATTGTAGCCATTCTAATTGGTCTAAAATATTTTAACCATTTTTAAGTATGTAGTTTAGTCCTTGATTTTTAATCTACTGCTTTTCTATCATACTACATACTCTCTGTAAAAAAAAGAAAAAGAGAAACCTGAAATGAGGCAAAAATAGATTTCTAACCTAGAATAATGTTCTTCCAAATATTATGAAAGAAAAGAGCATGTTTATGTAACTTACTAGCTATAAGGCCTTTAGTAAGCTGTATAACTGCTAAGCCTCAACTGCCTCATCAGAAATATCAGAGGGCTATTGTTAGGATTATAGATCTTACTCAGATACATAAAGTGTTAACAGAAGGGCTGGCAAATAACAGGTGCATCATGAGTAGGAAGTCTTACTGTAAGGCCAGTGATAAGAAACAGAATAGAAACCATACCAATTTTGGTAGCACTATAGATGTTTTCAATAGGAAATATTTCTCCTAGTCCATATAGGAGAACCTTGGCCAGAGCTGGAACGAGCTGGGTGGTAGTGATCAGAACATTCACACAATTCTTTCTAGAAGAGAATAAGAATTAAAAAAAAAAAAAAAAAAAGGTGAAACTAAACCAACCTTAGAGCAAGAATTCAAATGGGCTAACTCTTTAGGATCTAACTATTAAAGATTAAACTCAAAGGGTCTGGTATGATATTGTTTAGTGCCAATGTTCAGTTATTACTCTTATTACTTCAGGTTTATTTATTTTCTATATTAAAATACAGAGATCCTACTCTTTTTGTCTCTCAGTGGACACAGAGTAGCAACTTATTCTTGCCTTTCCCCCCTTCTGACCATTCTAGCTCACTGCAACACCTTGGCAAATACCCGCAATCCATGTCATTGATATCATACTTTAGAAAACAAATAAACAACAAAGAGCTCTCAGTTACTGTACTATTTTGTCTGAATGCAATTCAGGCCATAAATGAGATATGATTTAAGTCCTCTGTGCTATTCATACAATAGCAACACGGATTACAGAATAGACATTAATTTCACATGCCCTTTACTTTCACTAGATATCCACCCCTTGGTGTCAGTTTTACTGTTTATTCTACTAGATTATGGATCTGGAATTCCAGCTTTGAGGGAGAGAGCAATAGGGTATTGGTACAGATATGGCTGCACTTATTCCTAGTCTAAACTTCAGGATGAAATCTCCTTAATCTGCTTACTGTACCCATTTTCTTTTGAATCTTGCCTTCTTCAGTGGGTTTGGGTACATTCTTGGAGCTTCATGTATTTAAGAATATTTGTGATATGGTACTACATGGATTCTTTGATGTCACCGAGCCCAACTTCTGGGCTGGAGATTATTGTTTACTAAGTTTTAATTTTGTGAGCAAAAAGTAAGAAAAAAGAAAAAGGGTTTCATAAATAAATATTCTCTTAGAACTCTAAGATGTGCTGCTAATATAAATAGAACTTGCCTCCCACCTAACCTAAATACTTCCCTGTATCATTTAAATTCCTTTCACCCCTATCCCAAACCTTATTTTAGGGAATGACCTGTCCTGAACCGGGGTAGGAAAGAGTGTGTCTCTGAGAAGATAAGACCTAAAAGAATCATTTCCATACCTGGACTGGATGAGAAGTAAGGACTTTAATGCAGTTCCTAACCAGGAATCTGTTAAAACTTCTATTTCTGCTCTTAATCTCTGCAGTGCTTCCTTTCTCTGAGGACTGAGGAGGCCTTTGGAAATAAAAGCAGACACATTTATCATTTGATGACATATACTTGCTGATACTGAGAAAGCAATATCTATACTCAATTTAGAATAGTGAGTCACTGAAATAGTTTACTGAGCTGAGTAGTGCTACTCAAAATGTCACTTTGACATTTTTCATCAGAATGTTTTGCTACAGGGGCAAAAAAATTCAGCTGATAGAAACACTACGATTAGATTCTGGTGCAAGCTCCTTCTTTCATCATTATCCAGTAACGTAACTGGCAGACTGGCAGACTTTGAGTAGCACTGCTTTAGAACATGGACATCAAGAACCAAAGAGCAAAAAAAAGAATGTTATAGCTGGAAGAGTCCTCAGCATTTCTAATCTCTTCCTAAAGAAACCAAAGTCCAAGGAGAAAAGAGGCCTGCTAAGATTACATAGCAAGTTTCTGGTCTCAGGAAGACTTTCCACTACCATACACAAGTCCCATGGTGACTGCACTTCTACTTGTGCCAGAACACATCAACCTGAGATTCCAGGTTGAACTGACCAACTCTCTGTAGTGTACTTACTTCTGAAACAACTGCAGCTGATAAGAGACTAAAACACTGCCTAAAACTAGACAATTAAGCACAAAACAAAACAGAACTCATACAATGGGAGCATGTTGTCAGACACTTGAGATATAGTATTCAGACAATAAATTTTGCTCTGAATTTTCTGTAGTGAAGGTTAAAAAAAAATCCTGTATTCTATTAGCAATACTCTAAAAGCAGAAGGCATTTCTGTGAGGAGGAGAACTGTGAGTATAATTTGTTTTCTGATTGGTGGTTTCACAATGCAAGCCTAGAATCAGATGACTCTTTTAACATTTTGGATAAAATAAAACAACAAAACCAATACCTATATGTAATATACTTAACTAATATATGATGTGGAATTTTTGTTAATTCATATTATACAAACAGGTGGATATTACTTTTAATCTGTACCCCAAACTAGGTTGATAGGATTCTCACAGAGGGTTGCATTACTAGCAGGAAACCAGGTCCAGGCACTGGGCAGGGAAAGGATCAGAGACTTAAGTTGTATTAAAACTAACAAAAGAAAGGCTAATTGTTTGTGAGAGAGGAAAAGTAAAAAGACTTGGGAGCTGATAAAATAAAAAGTACTGAGACTGAATCATGAGAAATAATATAAAAATGGGAAGCTGAAAAAAGTAAATTCAATTTCCAAAATCTAGAAGCCCATAAGTTTTATCTGGTATTAGAGGGCTATAACAGGAATGAACCAAATTAATCTTTTTTTTTTTTTTTTTTTTTTCCGTGTCCGGCAACGGATCGCAACCCTCAGTGTCGCGCCCGCACCGGACCGGGACCGGCAACGGGATCGCAACCCTC